CGCTAATCAGTCCATTTTCATCGAATTTATTTATTTATCATCTCGCGATTGTGTATGCGTGTATATATATATATATATATATATATATATATATATATATATATATATATATGGCTGTGCACATGTATGCATATAGTTATCGTGTGAAATGTATCGAATAATGAAAGGCAACGAGTCGGAAGGACTAAAGTTAACTTGCACTAGATTACATTTAAGCGATAGGCTGCACGTCAGTTGTCAAAGTGTTATCGTTTAAAAATTTTAAAGCTCCCTCCCACGTATTATTCCCTTATTATCTTATTACCGCATTAAAAGTGTACTCGCGCGAACTCTGTATATGCATGTATATATGAGTAATATGAGTGCGTGAAAATGTGCATTACTCTCTGCACGCAATGGGTAATTATTGCATGCTTCGTTTTACGACTTATCGCGATGATCGATCAATCATATTTTAATTACCTGTATATGCCGCATATACGCACAAGTTTTGCATACGCACATTTACAAATACGCATTTTTAAGCCTTTTTTCGAGAGCTTTTATATATTTCTACATATATAAAAGTCGATAGTATATTTCATTTAAATTCCACCATTGATTCCACCATAATCAGCTGTCATCCATTTGCTGATCTTTACTAACCATTATTATAACTATTATTATTATTATTATTTTTATTTATTTATTTATTTATCATTATTATTATTATTATTATTATTATTATTATTTATCTAATACCTATTATTATATACGCGTAATTAAAATTTATTCATTAAGCAATGATATTAATATTAAAATCAAATGTATTATATGAATTGGATTATTCACACCATATGATGTGCGTGTACGTGTGTATATGTATGTGTGTGTATATAATCTAAAGACCCTAAATTCCTAAATACCACCTATATATCGATCACTGTTATCACAACGAATTCTAAATGTTTTTTTTTCTTTATGATCTTATCTTGGCTAACGCGGAGAAAAGTTCCCCTTTGATTCTCGAAAGCAACGATCTTCGTACGGTAATAATATTATTCGATATCCGTATTTTTTTTTTATTTCCTCACCGTTCTCCGCTGCTACTTTAGCGCTGCGTCAATCTATCTTGCACTTAAAGCCGAGGCAAACAAGTAAACCGTCGTAATCAACAGGCATGCCTACATGGACCGTGCTGAGAAATGCAAACGCGAATATCTTCGCGCATTCCACTTTCATACCCTCGCTCCATTTTGCGAAAGCGAGCAATTATACTCTATCGCATTCATACTATATTCGCTCCCTTGTTTTCTCTTATTTTGTCCTCCTTTCTCTGTACCCCTGTTGCTCATTGATATTATCTCTCACATGTATTCTGCCTCATTTACTCTCTCCTCTCATCCTTCCCTATTTCTGCCTCTCTTTCTCACAGTCTCTCTCTGCCCTAACGCGCTCATGAATACATTTAAGTCTTCAGACACTTAAATTCTATCTTAAGATCTATATTTCAGAGAAACCTTAGAACGCCATTGTAGTTTTGTCAACCCTTTTAAATAGCTTATTCTTTAACCTATTCCTTTAAAGTAATTATTAATCAAATTTAGTTCTAGCATATTATTTAGCAAATTTCGTCAGAGATTACCACTGACAAATTATTATATTGTTGTGTCGTTATTAGTATGATAATTCACATTCACATATACATATACATACACACATATATATATGTATATATAAATTCATAGTTCATAGTTATCATAAGTGCATCATATATATACATATATATATATATATATATATATATATATATATATATATATGTATATATAGGTTTATAATTGTTCTTATATCTTAGCACAGTTCTTTGTCGTACTCTCACTCTCTCTTTTACACTTTGCAACACTTTGTTTAAGTAATATGTCAGGATACCATACATATACATATTACATACATATATGTATGTACAGGTATGCTGTCTGTGTATGTGTACATTATAATAATGTATGAGATATATTTATGCATATATGTATATCGTACTCCTGGAAACAGATTGTCGCGCAACTCAAGAAATGCAACTCACAGTTCGAGTGTATTTTTTTAAAATTCTGTTTATATATAAATTCTCTTTCACGAGATAGAGATTTATCATCATTTCTGATCTGTCAGTAAGTAAGAAATTTATTTTCAATTAAAAATACGTCACCTTAATTAAAATTAAAAGTTTATAACTTAAATACGTTAACTAAGAAGTATATATATAATAAATAAAATCTGTTTATATATAGATATAATCAATAGATATAATAGACACATTTGCAATTAGTCGATCAATTGGAACAATCACATTATATATATACATATTACTATACTCATCACACATTCTTATATGTTATCGGTTATTTTTTTCTCCGCGTTTATCTTGCCGTTTCGAATTCGTTTGGTAATTTATTTATTTCCTCGATTTGCGCGGCGATCCTTTCTTTAAGAGTACGATACAATTATGTACAGAACAATTCTCATAATCAGCGCTTTCACTACTTCATCTTTTTTTTTTCTTTTCTTTTTCTTTTTTTCTTTCGCTTTGCAACTGAGGAGCTCATATAGTCGTCATAATCGTACCGTCGTGTTCTTTTCCGCTTCCTCTTGAACTCTATCTACGTTAGACAGTTAATTACGAATACTCCTTAAATTATGCATTTCTTACGAAAATATTAAAATTAAGCATTACGTAACAACACTGGCCGACAGAGTCGAGGCGACGTGACCGGCGAAACCGCGCGGATTCACATCGCGGACACATTTGCGAACCGATGCACCGGTATTTTCGTCATATAGCACGTGAGAAACGTGGCTCTTTTTGATGATGTCTCCTACACAAAGCAATCTCTCTCTCCCTCTCACACTTCTCTCGCAATCTTTCTCTCCCTCTCTTGCTCTCACTCTCACTCTCTTTTTTTTTTTTTTGGAAGGCAACAGATATAAAAATTTCCGATGCGCTTTTTGATTTATTGGTATATGCCAAAGTATAACGGTCCGGTATCCGCGAGGATCGATCGATCGCATGGAAGCGGCGAGAATCATTGTCGACCAATGCTACTGTGTACGTTTCCTTAGCTTGGCGTGTGACATTTGCAAGCATGGTTCAGTCATGCATGGCAAACGTGTGTAATCAGCATGTGTGTATATATATGTAGTTGTTCACACTTTTATCGCGCGCGGCTCGCGTCTTGTGATTGTGTCTCTTTTCCTCCTTCTATTTATATATAAATATGTTATACATATACATACATATATATATATATATATATACATAAACATATGTATATATAGCATGCTTTATTTTTGTGTCTCGATTGACGAAGGAAGAAAAGCCGTCTTTTTCACATCTTTCGCGGTTACGCCCAGTGATTGATCGCGAACCGTTTCCAAAATGCTCCGCCGACACGCGGAGGAACCATAGATATATTACATATATGTATATCTATGGTTATTTTACATATATATATATCTAATATATCTATAGGAGAAACGGAAAGAAAAAAAAAAAAAGAAAAAAAAAGAAAGTAATTGTTGTGCATGAGTAAATAACGATTCGCTTGTTCGCTTGTTCGTCGTTTGGTTATCAGTCCATTCAGGTACCTTTGACGTTGAAGAGAAAAACTAATTTAAATTCATCCTAGGACTGCGAGCTCCGCTCGGCAGTATATGCGCCCGTAATAAATGCCATCAATTCGTAACATCGCCATTTACTCACATTGCGATCTTACGCGGACCATTGTGATTTACTATGAATTCGAAGAATCATCACTAACAAGAGAAGCGTAATATTAACTACATACACAGGGTAATCGGTATGTAGTGTTCATTACTTGTCTTCATGTTTATTTTTCATGTATGTTCAGCTTTCCTCGATCTTTCTCAACACTTCGTCTCGTTTTTTTTTTCCATTTCTCCTTATCTTCTGTTTATCTTCTTTTTTTTCATTTAAACTCTACGTTAATAAATGGTAAAGAGACACACTGGACATTGGCACGACAGGTGGCATCTAGATTTAATATAGAATAAAATTTACGTTATTGCGATAACATTTGGTATCGTTGCGTCGTTGCCCAGTTGATCCGATATCCCTGCATTCCTCTCGTTTCTTCCACATTTCGTGGAGAGTCCGGAGCGCGGTGTGGATTGGAAGTTGGGGCGGAACACCAGGCAGCGACGTCAATGCTTGTTTTTTAAGGTTTTTCTTTTCTTTTGATTAGATTGATACAGTCTACATTTGATACTCGCTGCAGTCTTCGGAACTGTCCAGCAAAAAATGGAACACTCTTTGACCTGATCAGAGACCCTCGACGATAAATCTTCATTGAGAAAAGCGCTCTTCCTTCCTCCAGCACAAAGAGCGCCGATAGGTTTTTTTTCTTTCTCTCTATCTTCTCTTGTCTTGTCTTGTCTACGTTTTATCTTCAGATTAGAAATACATGCTTACTAGATTGGCTTAGAACGACGAGAACGCCATTTCTCGTCGTTTACATATCGTGGCAGATCGCACATGGTACACCAAGAGGTTGATGAAGAGACCCTTGCGATTGGTATAACTTGATCTAACTTGATCTTCCATAAATCCGTAAATCTTTTGGAGATATTTGTACCTCCTTGGAGTAATTATGACGCGACCGCATTCGTAACTTGCTCTCGTTTTTTATTAAGTGTTCTTATGAATGTATATGTGTATATGTGTGAGTGTGATTTGTCATGTAAAATTAGATATCTATCGCACAATTTGGTTATATACCACTGCGATTATTTCGCTTACGCGTGTTCTCTACTCAAGGCGGATACGAGGGTAGTAATTTCTTTGTTAAGTAACTCGTTATAGTAATTGCATTTTCTAGCAATATAATTGACATTTCGTGAAGACCTCGTCCATCTCATTTTCTTTCGCTCTCTTTCGCACAAACACGCACACATACACTCTCTTCCTCCTCTCTCTCTCTCTCTCTCTCTCTCTCTCTCTCTTCTTTCTTTTTATCTATCACTTTCTCTCAACTCTCCCTTCCTTTCCCTTTTCCTCTCATACATTCGCCCTTTCTTATCATCGACAGAGTATATATATAAGTAGATACATTTTGTATCGGTTCTAACCAAAAACATCGATCGATAATATGATAATACTTGGATATACAAAATGTGATCTAAGAGGAATAAGAGGCAGGGGATCGGAAGGGGAAGTAATACGCATTCGATCACGAAATTTCGGCATCAGCCGAGCTGCATCTTTGGACTTGCAAGTCTTAAGCAAGTGGATTTGTTCACTTATTTGACAAGATATCGGGCGGATGGCCTCTCGTTCTCTACATCGACTCACCTCCCAGAAGATCTCCGGGTAAGTACGAGTTGAGAGAACTGGGAGTTGCTCGTTGCTGGTCACTGTTGTCTATCCCGGCGTTGCTCCACAGGGAATTGCTGGTGGGCGGGGCGCCCCAGAGTTGACTAGAGCTGCCTCCCCATGTGTCGGGCGGCGGGCCAGCTTTGTTAGTTGGTCTAAGGCCCCAACCGGCCCCGCCGGAACCACCGGCCTGCTGCTGTCCACCATGGCTGAGTTGCTGCAGAATCGTGTGCACCTCGCTTTCTGCGGGCGACTCGGCAAATATCGTTGTGTTACCCAGGACGCAATTGTTTAGGGCTCCTTGTGCCTAAGAGAAAATTGATCATTTCGTAATATACATATATATTTCAGAGCCATTAGAACAAAACAAAATTTATGTCGCAAAAATTTTGAAGTTTCAACATAATTTCGAATTTTTTGAGTATTTACCTTGATTGCCTCGTCGCGAGAAGAATATTTCGTCAATGCAATTCCATGATTCTGATAGAGACGGAAATCTTGAACCGGTCCATGTTGCATACACAATGTTTTCAAAGTGGACCCGTCGATTTGTGGAGTAAGATTCTTCAGTAGAAGCCAAGTTGATCCTTGGTTTGACATCCAGCCTGAATTACTAACCGCCGACGACGATTGAAGGCCCCACGAACTAGACGATCTACTGACACTTCCTAAGCCGGCCCCCCAACCATTGCTCGCGTTCGTCGCTCCTTTACTACTCAAACCGGGAGGTGGACCGCGTGCTTTACTCATTGGTGCACCCCAAAGTTCTGAAGTCACGGCAGTTGGTGGAGGAGCAGACTCTCCCCATGTATTCTTGGAAGTGCTGTAACAAGTTGAATTCTTAAGTCTAATACATATACGCAGTAAAAAGAGCAATATATCATATATTTAGATAGAGCAATTACCTAGTAAATGCACTAGGTGTGGTAGCTGGTGGATTGAATGTCCATGTAGAATTACTTAAACTTGGGATCGATGTGTCAGGATTAGCAGTTTGCGGTGGTGGTGATGTCTTGCTGCTCGACGAAAATATCGTATCGGGATCCTTGATAGTTGCCAAGGATAATGGAGAACGCACAACAGAACCGGGAGTGATGCTTGGATCATCCTCGATGCTTTTTATCTGGGTACCCTAAAATAAAATTAAATATAGGTGGACCCGGATAAGCTTTAAGTACTAACACGCAATTTCTTTCACTTCAATGTTCTATGCGTGTTCTCTAAGTACAATTTTATATCATCGAATAACATTCTGAAAACATTTAATGACGCATAAAAAACAAATAATGATTGACGGTATTGGAAATGGATTACCTTCCATGGCTTCCCTGGTTCAAATTCCGGTACGAGGTCTGTATACGCAGCACCACCTGGTTGCCAGTCCTTTCCATCAGTCGAATCGTTGTTACCTGGATCAGGCCAGCCGCTGTCACCAAGTCGAGAAGACCACGTGCCGTCGCTTTGACCCAACAATGGATTCATGTTTGGACTGCTATGCGATTGAGTCAAAGCACCAGGTGTTGTAGGCGGTTTACTGGTAGTTCCAGGAGCACGGGAGAATTCGTTTGACACCAAATCACCGTCCTTATCCAGTGATGGCAGCTTCCACTGATTCAATCTAGACTGTTGCTGACTCTATTGAGAAAAAAAAACACTAATGTAGATTATAGTTGCACATCTAGATCTCGCATATTTATATAAATCAAACACACGTACCACCGGAGGTTCTTTGTTCATCGTTAAATCGCTAAAACTGTTCGGCAGAGCTGACATCGGATCATGCACAGAGGATTTGTAATATTCTGATGCTTGTGATGGAGGAGCTGGATGTTGCTGTTGTTGTTTCATGTATGTCGCTTGCTGTACTGCTATTTGATTCTGCAAATTCGTGATTTGCTGCTTGGTTTTTGTAATTTGAACACTAATCTGCAGAGCAGACTGATTGCTTCCTTTCATTGTATTCTGGACTGCGTGCTGTTGGTGCAATTGCTGTAAGACCTTGATTTGTTGCAGTAGCTGATTTAATAACATTAAAGTTTGAGGCGCCAGCGGTTGATTTAAAATCTGATGATTCAAATATCCTTCATGAACAGCTAACTGAATTTGTTGCACGAGCATCCGTAATTGCTGTGTACTTGGCTGATTCTGCGTTGTGCGAGATGCCTGCAATGTATTACATAAATATGTGTAAATATAAATTGTATGTATTAAGCAAATTGAAGGCAATTCGATTTATTTAAATTATATAAACGTAATATATGTACATATATACGTTTATTGAATAATTTTCTATTTAAAAAATATAATTTTTAAAATAAAATATTAACATGTAAATGCAATTTCTTTCTTCTTATGTGTTTAAAGAAATTAAAAGTAGCTTAACTGTAAAGCTATAAACTGGTTTACATTTTATTAATATTAATAATATATTTATACATTAATGTGTGTATCTGTATAATTTATTAATATAATATTTTATAATAAATAAATAATGCATATTTTGTGTCGTTATTTTTTAATTATATAATATTAAAACAAAATAAATAGCTTATATATAATCGGTGTAAATTTAGTGTTTAATTGAAAACAATAACTTTTTTTACTACCAAGTTAGTAATATATTGTTAATAACAAATAGCAATCAACATGCATAAAATTAATATTACACAAATGCAAATTCATGCATTTAAAATCATAATTGTAAATCTGAATTATACATAAATATTAATAAGCATATTTACTGTATAATAAAATTGTATAATAAAATTTGTGTGTGTGTGTGTATAGAAAAATAATTATCAATCCACTTTCTTGAGAAATGAACTTATCCAATCTTCTAAGCCATTATTATGAATTTGTCGAAACAACCTTATAACCCTTGTAATTGCATAGCGCGCAGATACAAAATCGGCATTAGTAGTATGTACCATTTCTTTAAAAAAAAAATAAAATAAAATAAAATAAAATTAAATTAAATTAAATTAAATTAAATTAAAATAAAAAATAAATAAATAAACCTATAAATACAAAAAATGTATCGTTTTCAAGAGTGAATTTGTTCACCTGATTGAAAGGGGGTTGTGGCGCATTGGTACTTGGCTGCTGTTGCTGTAGCGGAACAGCTGTTTGCTGCTGTTGCTGTTGTTGAAGTTTTAGAAGACTAGCACTGGTGACAGAACCACCTACGCCCCCACTGGTTGCCCCACTGGGCACTCCTCCGCCCTGTGTTAAATACATATTGTACCCTACGCCTACTTTCTTTCTTCCTCCTCTTGTGTATATTAATATATTATATTAATTGCGCAAGTACACTTTTACTATAGACACATCTTTAACAGCAATATTTCTGTTATATACTGTTGAATTTATCTTCCCCAAGTATCGATCATAAAGTTTTTATCTCTTTACAAAACTTTCACATTTAAATTTTATTTCTATAATATTTAAATTCTTTTTATGTTATATATATATATATATATATATATATATATATATATATGTATATAGAGTTTATATTTCTAACAATGTAAAAAAACATCTGCGGTGTATACAAAAAATAGTAACTATTCATCATACCGCGTCAGTATCACGTAGTGGTTTCATTTTTTATTTAATTCTTCATTTTCAGTGTTCAGTTAGACATTGTTAATTTAGAATAAAACACTATCAGTTTACACTCACTCAATCTCATTACTTGTTAATCAAATTTCACTAAAAATCGTAGTGCGTATTTGTGTTGCTATCAAATATCTTCACTTTGTCACACTTTCAAAATCAATATTGTTAATAAAGATTTAAAAACATATTATTCAACAATTCTGTATATTCCTTAGGATATTGCTCAAGATAGCAAAAACTCGTCACTATCTCACAACATAAAAGTATGTGTTGGTGTGTATATTGTTTAGTTAAAGCTTATTAAATTTACCGGAGGAAATGACATCTGCTGTCCTACATGATTGAATCGGGGATATGCAGGCGCGGTAGTCGCTTGATGCGCCGGATCGTAACCTGAGTGCGTGTCGTGGCGTCTCCACTGGTCAATAGGACGTAATTGATTGAGAAGTTCCAATGCCTCATCTCGGTTCATTTCTCGATTCCTTAGTGCCACTTCAACATCTTCTTTCTAAAAAAGACAATAATATCTTCATGTATTGCATATTCTTACAGTATCTAATAATTTCTAATATTTAATAATTATTTTTGCAATAAATGACATATAAAATAATTTATTTCGATGTATAATACACGAAAAAAATTGACATTACTTTTGATGTCATAATTCATTACAGCTGCAGTGAAAAATTAGAAACCTCGAAGTTTTAAATTTATTTTAATCAAAAATAAACGACAAAGAAAGGAAGATTAAATAGATAGAAAGAAATTGGTGGAAATTAAAGATTTCATACCTTGAATCCTAATTCGCAGAGATATCGGAATTCGCGACTATTCCAAATAACTTCCTTAGTCAAAGTGGGCTTCGTAGGATGTGCCCAACTAGGAGTCGGATCCATATCAGAGTCGGCCCAACTACCGGCAGGTCCCATAGGCTTTGGTGGTTTGTGCGCAGTTGGACCACCCCAAGCTGGATTTAGCTGAGGTTCATTCCATGTAGCTTGTGTCTTAGGATCATCCCAGGATGCAGTGTCATGCGGCCCGTCTGTCCAAGTTCCATTGCGTCCGCTTGGAGCGCCGGGGTGACCCCACATAGGATTACCAACATCCGGTTTCATTCCAGGCTGTCCTGGCATTCTGTTTTGTGGCATGCCCGGTGGACATTGCATGCCTGTAAAATAAAAAACACGAGATTAAGTACTTGCTAATTATAAAGCTTTGAAATAAAAAACAAATATGTATTAATAATTTTTTTTCAACAATACTAATAAAATGAAAAGTCGAATTTCGGGAATATATACCTCCACGAGCCAAATTCGGTGTAGGCATGTCCTTCCAGTGTGATACTTTGCTACCTGGTATGGCGCGCTGATTAGCACCCGGATTTCCCCAGAGACTAGTACCATCATCATAATTGGGCACGTTGCGTCGTTGTGTCGGCGGGGAGGGTTCCTCCCAACCAGACGGTTTGCCGGGCATAATGTCCTTCGGCGGTGGCGCAGCCCATTGATTCATGTTCGATGGATTAAGCATCTTGGCCGGCGGTCCGGATGGATGTTGATGACCCATCTGATGATGCCCGGGAGGTCCCGGCGGTTGAGTCCACATTGCGTCCGCGTTTGCACCATGCAAACGTCCTGATATTCCGCGCGGATCGCCACGCATATCGGCCATTCGCGGATCGCGAGCCATCGGATCCATTACACGCATGTGATCTCGAGGATCCAAGGACATACGGTGATCTCGTGGGTCACGCATTTCTCTCGGATCCACAGATCGCAAGTCTCTTGGATCTCTATGGTCTATTCTGGGATCACCCCAATTGGACCCTATAGCAACAATCAACGTTTTTTGTAATCAATCATTTTTATTGCTGTCAATGAATAATAATCATATTGATTTATAAATAAGATTTCATTTAAACTGTTAAGTGTATGATATTTTTATCAACTATTTTATCAAATCTACAATTACTTATTATTGTAATTAAAAAACATACAATTTTACATATAATAATGGTAAATATATGATGACAATTACTTGTAAATCGCTTTAATAAATCTAATTTTGTAAAGTATCAATCAATTATAAAATTACTATTATAATCAATTATAAAACTATTTAGATACATTGAATTCATATAAGAATATAAATATTCAAAATAGTTCGAAATTAATGAAATTACATTCAGTATATCTGTTCTCAAATGATATTATAAACGATACTTTTCTACTGCATTAAAAATATTACTTTTCAAAGAAATTTTCTTTTAATTTTAATTATTAGAATCTAATACAAAATATTAAAATTAAACGTATCCTTCGATCAAAATTAAAAAATTTAGAAACTACCAACATCTGACATTTCTAGCTTTCACCAACTTAACTCTTCACATACCAGCTTGATTACCGGCGGCGCCGGTCCACTGAGCAGCGCTCGGCTGTGACTGCGTCGGTGCACCAGTCCACATGTTAGACGAATCAGCTGTTTCGTCATCTTCGCCCCAGGTTCCACCAATATTGGTCGCCGGAGTGTGGCCCCACGGTGTTTTCGTCTGCTGCTGAGGCGGTGGCTGTCCGCCGTTACGTAGATTCGCCTCCCATAAATCGGTGCCATTGTTCACTGGTGGTTTCCAGATCGGTACACCGTCTTTGGTCGTGCTTGGTTCAGGAGACGTTGGCACGTCCCAATTTGTATCTTGATTCACGTTTTGCTGCAATTATTTATATACATAAATATGTAATTAAGTTTGTTACTGCATGTTCTACTTTTTCGATATAATAAAAAATTATTTTAAATTTTATATCTTAAAGAAGAAAAATCTAAATCATCTAAAATTTGCACTCTTGAAATGTATAACCAAATACTTGTATTTTACTTACGCAGCCCCAACCGTCGTGACTAAAGAGCGCTTCCCTCATCGTATTGAGTTGCTCGAGTTGCTGTTTCGTAGACGGATTATTAGTCGCCGAAGTATTGCCAATACTCACAGCCCCTTGGGTAGGATTGTTCGACTGATTGTTATTTGCATTCGAACCTGAAGATTGTTGCTGTTGAACGCCGCTATTGTTGTTATTTTGCACTGATGGATTTTGTCCAAGACCACCTGGGTTGTTAGACTTTCCCTGAGGCCATTGGTTATTATTCTGATTTGCTTGGGTAGGATTATTTGATTGAGACGTTGGCGGACCAGATTGTTGATTCGATTGTTGATTGGGATTAGTAACTTTGCTCACATTACCTAATTGATCAAAAGAATAATACATTTTATGAATTGCAAAAAGAAAGAAGTATATATTAACGTATAGCATATTTAATGTTTTAAAATTTTAATAAAAATTAGAATAGATAAAACAAGTTAAAAAATATATATAAAAATTTTTATATAAAATAATAAAGATTTAAACAAATTTTGTTTAGCTGTTGATGCTCTTACCCGGATTATTTTGGCTTCCGGGTGGTCCTTGATTTTGATTTGGATTTCCAGTGGCAGATCGGTTGACAGTATTTCCGCCCCAATTATTGGGTGCATTAGCACCACCGGGTGGATTTCCGGGTGTACCACCCCATCCACTCTGATTCGTATTGTTATTATTCGGCGTAGTGGCTTGCGTTGTTCCCCACGTAGCTCCACCGCTATTCAAAGAACTCTCTCCGCCTCCTGCTAATCGCAGGATCATTGGTATGCCCCAACGTTGTTTGTAACTTGTGATAGGCTCGTTGTACTTGTGATATAACTGCGAAACAGGATTTCGAAACAAGACATCCAAGATGGATTTTAGTTGACGTCGTTGAACTTCATATTCGCTCCCGTATTTCTCGTATGTTCTTCGACAAGCAGGAATTAACGCACGCACACACTTTATAAGGGATGACCATTGCAACGTAGATGGTGCAATAAAATCTTCGTTGCTGTTGCGTATGATGGTATCATTAACATCATCATCATCATTATCATGATCATGATCGTTCTTACGACTTTGGTCGCGTCTAAGATTATCTCGGTTATATTTGCAGATCAACTGAGCGTCATCTTTCGATGTTGTTGCCTTGAGCTTGTCAATAGCATAAATTTGCACGAGTTTAAATTTAGTTGCGTCATAATGACGCAAGAAGTCATGCTTATTAAGATCATCTGTATGACTTAGCAACATATATTGGATACATATTTGGTCATTTTGGAGTACATTGAAATATTCCAATCGCATTTCATTGTCGTTCGTGCGAATCTCCGCCCGAGACACAGGTACAGCAATTGTTTGGGATGCGACGGTGGCTGATTGGCATGTAAGCGTCATCGTAGGCTTGCAGGTAGTCATTATAGGAATGTTGACAGTCAACTTAACTTGCCTTCTGTTGTCAGATTTGTCAAGTCGAGCGGCATGAGATGTTTCAAACTTAACGTTACTACTACATTTATCGCTTAGCGTAGACCTACATACAGACTTAATGGTAGAGTTAGATTCACGATCGGTAGCGACCAATCCCCTATTATATCTACTAATCTTAAAACAAGTGTTTAGAGGCTTATTGTTATCCTGAAATAAAAGAGCACCAACAGTAAATATTGTTGCTTCGGTACAACTAATACCATCATTTTGAGACCCTAAGATCCTAACATTAGTAGTCATTACACTAGTCTTGTAGCACACAGCGATGTCAACAATGTTTCCGATAACATCTGGATTATTATTATTATTATTATTATTATTATTATTATAATTATTATTATTATTATTAATATTAATTTCCTCTTCAATACTACCAACTGTACTGTACTCGTTATTATAATATTCATTATAATTATTACCAACGTTGTAATCATTACTTTTACATATTACTAATAATGGAACACATATGTGTTGCATCAGCTCGGTCACAGTGACATTACATAATGGAGAAATATAAGATTGTACATATAATTGTGTGAGATTTTTCAGGAAAGATCGCAAAGTGTGGTCAATTACTTCGTTTCTGAAAACGATAAGCGTAATGGAAGAACTGGCGGCATACATCGCAAAATTCTGAGCGTAATAAACAGACACCGGTACTAGAGTGTTGCCGTTGAAATGCAATTTCAAGAGGTGTCGTACTATTCGGCGGCTCAGCGAGACTCGGATGTTAGAATCGTCCAGAATTCTATTGTTTGCAAGCAGTCTGGAGGTCTGAGCAAAACTGGTAACTAGGGCGTACTTATCACCTAGTAGTTTCATTCTATTCGATGTGGTGGTAGAATCGTCCCTCTTAATACAAAGTACCGGGATAACAGCAGCTATCTTGTCAAAGCCACCACTAAAGAGGAGGTAATGGTTACTGTAACTGGTTGAGCTGAGCAATATCACAGACTTGGAGTTGTTATTACTTACATAACTAAAATTAGCCTTAAATTTATTGTTGTCGCCTAGGTCAAGGCAGGACCCTAGTAAGGAGTAATTGTCGTCAGAGTTAGGGAGGCGTAACAACCGTTGGGGACTATCAGACTTGGGTATCCTAACTAGGCTAGGTACCCCAACGGCGCGATACGCTTCGTCCCTTTCAAAATTTACACGTACCCTTATTATATATACTCTAATATATAGATTACTAAAGCTAGTCTTATTATCACTTAATGTCTTACAAATAGACTTAGAGTTATTGGCGGAGCTGCCCAGCTGCAAACCAAGCAAGCCCGGTGTGTTTTGCTTTCTGTACTTGTGATGATTATGTTCTGCATTGTTGTGATTATTTATTTTATTATTATTATCGCAGATTAGAAAGTGATTTGTTGGGTATTTTGTGGTTGCTGGCGCCACTGACTGGCAGGCCTTACCTATGCCGGTTGAGTTGAACTCACCTATAATTAAAATGTTTGTGCTGTATGTCATTGGAATTTTAATGTATATATATTCAACTTAAGTATTACTCGTGTTCAATGTAATTAAACTTTTTTTTGTTGGAAATACTGCATATGTGAAATTCAAAAGATATCCAAATTATTTATTACAAAATAGCTAAATAAATGTAATAATGTTTTTTTACTTGACATGTTTTATTTTATATAATTAAAATTTTTTATACTTGTGTACATGAAAAAAGTTAACTGCCTATATGTTTATACATATGCTTTAATATGACTTTTAAAATAAATATTTATCAAAGCTGAGCTTATAATTTTATTCAGCTTTCACAATCTTTCAATTTTCAATAATAAATATTAAAATAAAATAATAAAATGAAGTTAGTAAACAAACACAATATTTTTTACAAGACATACTTGATTGTTATTAATATATATTAAGCGTAAAATAGATAAATCAAATAAGAAAAAATATATATATACATATACATATATACATATAGGACGACAATATCATCACAATATTCTTTTAATAATAAAATTTTATGGTTAATTTAAAATAAATGTATTCTTAGCAAAAATTATATAGATATAATAAATATCAAAATATCTGTTTACTCACCAGCTTGGTTCAGCAGGACGGTTGAAAAGTCATTGGCGGCGGTAGCTTCGGGATGGCTAATAGGTGCTGCCATCATGCTGCTGTTTGCTATCGATTCGATATCACAGTACCTAGTGTGCTCTGATCCTTCCCCTTCCCCCACCCCATCCAGACTGCTTTCCCCTAATACTACTACATCCCCCTATACGACATAAAAAAAGAGACAATAAGTTTGAATGTTTGTTTCAAGCAATATTAGTACAAATTATTAATGTAGGATATAAATAAACCAATACTAAATAACTTATTAACAAATAATGTAAAATTAAAATAGTACTATATATGTAATGATAAGAAAATTGCAACATCAAACATATATACATTTCTTAAGAATAAAAAACTAATTTATATGCAATAGCTACAGATATGCTAAAAAAAAAATTTTAATGTTTATAAAAAAGAGGCAATAAAAGTGTAAAAATATAAATAATTAAATACTTGTCACAAATTATACAATTTATCGTAAGATTGCGGTATAAAATGTCTGCAAATAATATTTTATCCGATCTGTATTTACAAGATAATAAAATCACCTCATTAAAAGATTATCAATATTATTTGAATCTATTTTTTCATTAGGTTCATTCCTAGAAGTGTAGTTACATTTACATATTGAGACAATAATTTATATATTAGTATTGATAATCTGAAATTTGATAACATGAATAATTCATTTAAAATTTATGCAAATTTTTAGAATTGACGTATTTCAGTATGACATAAGTGATATGGTATGTAAAAAAAGACGATTCTAAACGCTTACAATTTACATGTAAATGCTTACCATGGAATTTTGTACGAAGGCATTTGTTTCTGTAGAAATCTCATGTGAACTAGAATTGTGTGGAAACATTGGGCTCAGTTCTTCTTTGGCAGGCAATGCATAGAAACCAAGATCTATATGCAAAACACATATATAAACTAACAATATAATCTTTTTAACAACTTAAATAATCAAAATTTGGTACCATTGAATAAAAAACTAATTAGCAATAATTGCACAGCAGCTGATAATTCAAACATTAATCATACACATTATTATATATAAAGTTGAGCAAGTAAATTTTTCCTTTCTACAACAGTATGTAAAAAAATAAAATAAAATCTGTACTACTAATATAGTAGAACAACAGTTTATCATTAAATTAATACATTTAATACTATAATTACTTTAAGACTACAAAACTGAGAAATGAAAACTGTTAAATAAAGTAAGAAAAGTCTTTATTTGCAAAACTGATTAAATTAATACCTCGTAAACTAACGCTATCAGTGCGCTCCTAGCTCCATGCCAGTGGAGATCTGAAAAAATACAAAATATATTAAGAATTACAGGATATTGTTTAATTAATTTTAACAATAAATAAGATAAAATTTTCTATAAAATTTAAGAAAATTATTTTTTATCTATTTTTATCTCTCGGTTTAAATATCTTAACAATTAAAGTTGTACAAATAGACTTTCTGTTCAAATAAAATCTTAAACCACTCAAAAATATATAATCCGTTCACTTAATAACAATTTTACATTTACTACAACATTCTACATTCCTAAAGAAATTGCTGATAATTCACTTTTAACTCTTGTAAGTCTATCATTAAAATTTGTATTAAATAAAGCACTTTGTATGAACAATTACAAGAGAATAACATTTTAATATTTAAACAAGACACTACGTTTACGTATATCCATAAATATATCCATAAAATTAGAATAATTTATTATAAAATGAACAAAGCACAAAAACATCTATTAAATAAAAATAGCGATTTGAAAGAAATCAAAAAAAAAAAATCAAAGAATCATCTGTTCCACCTCTCATCCATGATTTTCTCAAGACCATCATAATATTTTACATCACTTCACTCTCCGGTCTCTTCCGAGACTACGACTCGCAGTTCCTATCGATCGGAGCACCTTAACCGAAGCAAAACGAAGAAGAGGAGCGCAAAAGACATCCCCGTTCAAGGTTAAATCCAAACTCTTCTCCGCCCCAAGAGGGCGATCCTAACCTAAACGGACGCAATTATCGCTGCACAGACTCCGTTCGAGAGGCAGCGCGCTCGTTTGACAAGTAGAGTTCGAGCACGAGAGACGCGTTAAACTTATATATTTATTCCGTTCGGCGCACGAGCACGGGCGTGACAGGAAGGAACACCACGACGACGACGACCGTTTGATAAGACGACATTATTATTTACGTACGCGAGAGCCGTCCTCGTAATACCACCTCACGCTCCGAGGCGCTCCGAGCTCTCTGGCCGACAGCGAAGCAACACGGATCGGGGCAAACGTCACACTGTGCGAGCAGCGCGCGACGCACTTCACGCCGAACGAAAGGTACGCGGCGGATAAAAAGATGCGTCGAGACAGAGAAGAGATCCGCACATATCCCGAAGACGTTCATCCTGAGGATGTCCTCTGGATATCCTCTGAATATCTTTCGGATATGTCGTGCTATTAGAGAGAGTGAGAGAGAAATAAGAAAGAACGTACCTCGAACCGAGCGTCACGCATCGGGTCACTCGGGACGATTAAGAAGAGACAGCCGATGTTGGATCCTGCGTACTCCCCCCTGCCCTCCCCCACTCCGCGAGACACATTCGCGAGCAAACGTCGGCAGCATCGGCGTAGCCGCGTCAAATTTTCACGAGAGGAGAGATCACACACACGGCAAATGGTGGCTGCGCGACGACGACGACGAAAGCAGCTGCGACGAACGAGGCCGCAGGCGGACGACACGAAAAAGGCAGGGACAAAAAAAAAGGGGGAGAGAAGGGTCTCGCGCTAGCTAACACACCACGGGGAGTGCCGCGCGCGGGGCGACCTGTCGTCGTCTCACACACCCGGGGGCGCGCACCGCGGAGTCCTCGGTCGAGTTTGAAACGCGGGTCTTCCAAGGACTCTTGGCTTGGCAACTACGGGGCACCCGGGCTCGCGAACGATGAGAAAACGGAGTGTCAGTCTGCACGAAGCTATTTCGCTAGAACGCACGGAATAGCGAAGCGTAGTCCGCTCGCTCGGCTGGCGAACGGCCGTTCCCGCGAGCGACCATCCTCCCCACTCCGACCGTATATGCTCGCGCGCGCCGCACGAAGGCCGTGGCGCGCGCGAGCGGCGGCGCGGGAGGAGAAGGCGTGGAGGGGGGGGGGGAACTCCCCTCCTCCGCTATTCGTGCCTGAGCCTCCGCGATGAATCGAAGAGACCCAACTTTTTCGCGAAAATCGTTTTCACTGCATTCTTGCTTGATTTGAAAAATTCGAGCGCGCTTTTGCGAATCTCTATACTCGGATAATTGGTTCTTTATTTTTTTTATATATGTCTAAGCGGGGAAAAAAGAGGTAGAGATAGTGTATTGAGATAATATTTTTTTATTAGATGCATTATCGTGTGTGATTTAAATTCTTAAAGGAGATTCTCTCTTTGTATAATTGAAATATCAGCAAAAACGCGGGAAATAAGATGAAAAAATTGAGAATAAAAAATATATTTTGAGAAAATATATGATTTTAATATATTTATGTATACGCGCGGAGAGAATTTTCTCTTAGAATTTACCCTGAAAATCATGGAAAATCGTGGGACAATATATGATATTGGAAGAATTTTATAAGAGTTTCTTTAATTAATATTTACTATAATAAAAAATATTAATATGTACATAGTAAGTTTTACTATTAATCGAATATTTCTTTATATCTTATCGTGGTGGATATTTAATATGTTTTATTGTGGTAAATATTGATTAGAGAAATTCTTATAAAATTCTTCGAATACCATATTGTCCTACGATTACATGATTTTCTAAGAGAAAATTCTTTCTGTATATAATAAAAATTTACCACGCAGCAAAGAGGCGCGAAATAAGATAAAAAAAAAAATTGAGAATAAAAAAAATAAAATTGAAGAAAATATTCGTATTATTTCCTGCAAAATATATTTCGATACGTGATAGCGCTATCAAAGATACAATCATGGTTCGATACGAATCAGATGGATTGCCACAACGAAAATAATGATATTGAATATATATGAGATAATGAAAATTACGTAAATTACTATTTTTGCACACTCACAGCTTTCATATTTCGGAACTAAAGTCCACGTTTTTTTATCTTTTCCGATCTTAATCTCTCTCCCTCTAATTTCGCATCTTCTCCCTTATATCTCCTCTTCTTTTCTCCTGTCAATAGGAGAAAATTCTCATCGGATAATCCGTTATGACGACGAACGCCGCAAAAATCTTGCGAGAGGTCGTGCGCTTCATTCAAATTTGACATTACTGTCACTTACAATTCCGCGTCCACGCGAACTGCATTATTTATAATAATTTCCGGAGCGCGTCATCGCTACAATGTGCAACAATCCGGACGAAGATCTTTATTCTTACGCGAACGTAGGACCGAAACGCGAGATAAAACAGACGAGCTAAGCTCATCGTGGAAGCGGAAATGTTCAAAGCGAAATAGTATCTACGCGATCTCTTAAGCATGGAAAAGCGTTGTCGAGAATATTAAATTTTATGTTACTCTCTCCTGGCATTTTTCAAGATAAATCCCTGCCTAGAAAAATTATTTTCAAGATTTTCACGGTGTTATATGCAGTATCTGTAGAACGTCAAATATTTTTTTTTTTTTTTTTTTTTTTTTTAACAGATTTAATTACCTAGATAGCTACAGTAATAATTATGATATCATTTTGATATCAAAATGACGTAATTTGCCGTCAAAGTTACTTTTGCTAGCTGGCTAAATTTTAGCTGAGATAAATTTTATACTTAAAAATAATAAATATCTTCGACTATTTCGGATTGTATTTCAGACGGTTAATTAGCCTTTTTAATAGACATTTGTATTTATACTAGACGGAGTCGATATCCATTAGTCGGTGTAGAAATCAACTGTTGAAACTCGATAACAGAAATGGTATAGCTATTTGTATAATTGCTTAACGTTTTTTATGTCTTAGCGATATCCATCCGTGCACGATTACAAACTAGAAATAGCATAAGAAAATTAAACATGAATACATTGAACAAAAATTCATAGAATCGTAAAATGTGAACAATATTTTTAAAAATGCGAAAAATTATTATATATTTTTTCGGTACTTATTGCATCATTATTTATTGCATTGCCAGCTTCTATTGATCTCCTATATATATCTAATCTAATCGTTTTACCTTAAACAACACATGCTTTTTCATCGAAAGACATCCCCCCTCTTGGAATAAAAAAATTAATTAACTCTCTTTTCGAATAAACACTATTTAATATAAAAAAATAAAAATAATTTTAAAAAATTAAGAAAGAAAAAAACAGAAAAATTAAATTGTGTCCCCTTCTGAAAAAAATCCATATACGTATGTAGAAACATATATCTCCGTACGCAAGATTATCGTACGGAGAGTCATGAATAATAAAAGCCGAGCAACATATTCTCGATTCTCTATTAAACTGCACTTGATAGCGATGAGGACTGGCTTACTATATCGATTAAAAATGGCGGATCGTGTTCGCTCTCGAGTCGAGGCGGCATGGCATGTCTCTAGCGCGCATCGGAACGCGAAGCGCCGCTATTCGCGCGAGTGCGCGCGTGCGCACGCGCGCACTCGCGAGCGCGAGAGAGCGTCTCTCGTCTCTCTCTCGCGTGTGCATACTTAGCAGCGGGCCGCAGGGCACCGCAGGGCGAAACGCCGCGTTTTCCACGCGCTTTTCTCCCTCCGCGCGTGCGAGTTTCCGTCGCCGCTCTCGACGTACTACGTTGCATGCGCCGTGAGCGCGTATTTTGAATGTCCCGTACGCGAGTATCAAAAATTATTGATCCACTCGATGCCACACTGCGCGTGTGTGCTGCGTGTACGCGCGCGCGCGCGCCGATGGTCATTGTATGTGCTCGCAAGTCAGTGATTCTCAATCTGTCCCTATAGATGTATCTGTTTTCTCTTTTTTTATCGCGACAATAATCTACGGAAAATAATAATCTTATCGCGCACGACTTTCTAATTTTCTCATAATCATTATCAGGGTGTATACTCGAATCTTAATTATAAATAAATTCCCTGAGGATTCCATGATTTTCCTGGCACTTTTGTACAAAATTCCAAGTAAATTTTAAGTATTTAAAAAAAATTTTAAATACAATTTTAAAATAAATTTATTTTTATTGTACATAATATTTTAACATAAATAAAATCTTTTTAATATAATAATATAATTATTATATATTAAAATAAAATATATTTTAATATACTTTATATAAATCAAATTTTATATTCTTTAAAAGTATATTTAAAAATAGAATCAAAGAGGCAATTTGTTTTAAGTTCTCTGAGTTTAAAACAAATTCTATGAGTATTTCAGTGTTTTTCAAGGTAGAAAACAATTCTCTGAGAATTCCAGATTTTCCAAGTTTTTCCCGGAAATATACACCCTGATTATATATCGATATATACCTGGGTTTTCCTTTCTAAATTTCTAATACCTATATCTCATAATTGTCGGGAAGAGATAATACCATAATTTGATATATCTCAACTGTCACTCTTCGAGGGTGATATCTGATATTTCGACTCGAATTTCATATGGTACTTAGAAAAGAATGTTTTTAGTAGGCAGATTTTATTACACGATTAGTTTGAATTTCATTGATATTGAAGGAAATTTGATTTTTAGATCATTTCTTCCCGAACAAAATTTGAAGAGAAATTCTTCCTCTCACATCTTTAAAAAAAAAAGTGGAAAATAGATTGTGATTAACCTAGATAAGTTTGAATAAGCTTGAAATGAATTTGATTCCAAATATAGTTGTGAGTGTCAGCTTTTTTCGAAGGTATGGTTCGGCCCCTTCTGATCCCGAATTTTCGTAAGCGCGGATGATGAAAATTGACGCGATATTGCATCGAGATTTTCGAAACCGAAGCGTCACCCGCGAGATAAAAGCAACTCGTATCGCGATATCGTTGCGGTATTGCGTCGTACTCGATATATAGGAAATCGCGAAACTGCAATTGAGAACCGCCGACGTATGCGCGAGTGCACCTAGAATGTGCACGTATATGTATAAATATATATATGTGACGACGAGTACGCGCTGTTCTCTCGGGCGCACGTCTGCCCTTCTACTACGAGTCTCTCTCGCCGCTATTTTGAATACATCCTAAAGATAGTGTTAATAATAATAAAGAGCGAAACATTTTATAATCGTCGCTATGCTCTTCCGACTCGAATCAGCTGACGCGATTCGCGCTGGGGGATCCCATGCTGTTGCGATAAAAATATAAGCGATCAAAAAAAAAAGCTCTATCATTCTATTATATATGTATACATACTTGAATAATTTTACACAATTCTCGATTTGTTTCCCGACACATTTCACTGATCCGAGAATGCGAGAGA